TGTAAGTTAAGGGTTTAGCTCCCTTTTTTCTCGCATGTGACTATCCAGTTTTCCCAGCACCATTTGTTTAAGAGACTGTCTTTTCCCCACTGAGTAATCTTGTAACCCTTGTCCAACATTATTTCTGGGCTTTATGTTTTTATTCTGTTGGTCTGTTTATCTTTATGCTAGTACCACACTGTTGTCTTCTTCCTTTTGATAATTATTTTTTTACACCTTTGCCATTTTATGTCACAAGTTCAAAGTTAATGGTTGTTGTTAAGAATATACTGGTACTAGTTAGTAATTGCCACATTATGAAGTATATGTTAGAATAACATTTAAAAGTAACTTTAGTGTGTTTTTCTTTTGGTCCTGTGATTTTTGAAGTAATCAGAAAAATGATCTCCCTGAGGATAAGGCTGATGTTCTTAATTTTTATAACACTATAAATGCAGGGTGTGGAGTAATTGATAGTCTGTGATGATGCAGGGGTGTGGTAAACTTGCTGATTCCAGAAAAAACTTATGTCCCACTTAAGTATGCAGTTAGAATAGGGCAGGTAGTAAATGACTCAGAATGTATCAACAATCTTTTTTGTTTGTTTTGGCAGTATGCTTTGAAATAAAAAAACACAAAATAATGACTATGTCTGGAAAATTAATCTTCAGTAGTGTCTTGTCTTTAATGTAGGGGACAAAAGAGACCAAAATAAGTTGAAAAGCTTCTGTGCCTTTTCCTAGGATCTAAAATGGTAAACCTGGAAAAGTTTATGACAATAGTCAGCAATTCAGTAGAAGGAAACTGTTTTTTCTAGTTGTGACTGTTTATTATTTTTTCTCAAATTCTTCTTGTTCTACCCTGCTTATTTGTATTTCCTTTCCCAGTGCTGCCCTCTTCATTCTGATCAGTCTTATCTCCTTGTCTTGGAACCATTCCTAATTTCCATCTTCTTGTCTGCTGTTAATAAGAAAGGTTGTTCTGTCAAGTCAAGTGGGCTATTTCATATTTTGGAATAATTTATCATTCTTTTTCTGTTGTTCTAAAAGCTATAGCTTTTCAAAGTGAAGGCTAAATTCTGTGTTTCATAAAGTTTTGCTGGATGCCTATGGTTTTCAATAGATTTCTCTAAATTTTGACTTGTTTCATTTGAAATTGCTTTGCATGTTTTTGATCTCTTTCCAACTAGTTCATAAGCCTTAGAATGAAAACTGTGTATTTTCTGCAAGGAATGTAGTATAGTACTGGATATGCATCAAGTAGTGGAAACTTTATGTCCGCACCCGACCTCTCTCCACTTCCCTTTGTCTTCACCCCTTCTCTACCTCCTTTTAAAAAAATACTCCCCAGAGTTACCTGGTGATAACTAATTCTTTCAGTGGCATTCAGCCTCAGATTCACTTGATTTAACATTTTAAATTTATCCTTTTTTTGGGGAAAAATTTTGCTTCGTACTGCATTTTGAAATGCAATATAATCGTGCTGCATTTTATTTTATTTATTTTTTTTTCCCATTTATTTTTATTAGTTGGAGGCTAATTACTTTACAATATTGTAGTTGTTTTTGCCATACATTGACATGAATCAGCCATGGATTTACATGTGTTACCCATCCTGAACCCCCCTCCCACCTTCCTCCATATCCCATCCCTCTGGGTCGTCCCAGTGCACCAACCCCAAGCACTTGTCTCATGCATCCAACCTGGACTGGCGATCTATTTCACACCTGATAATATACATGTTTCGATGCTGTTCTCTCAAATCATCCTACCCTCGCCTTTTCCCATAGAGTCCAAAAGTCTGTTCTGTATATCTCTGTTTTTCTGTCTTGCGTATAGAGTTATCATTACCATTTTTTTTAATTCCATATATTTGCGTTAGTATACTGTATTGGTGTTTATCTTTCTGGCTTTCTTCACTCTGTATAATGGGCTCCAGTTTTATCCATCTCATTAGAACTGATTCAAATGCATTCTTTTTAATGGCTGAGTAATATTCCATTGTGTATATGTACCACAGCTTTCTTATCCATTCATCTGCTGATGAGCAGTTGTTTCCATGTCCTGTCTATTATAAACAGTGCTGCGATGAACATTGGGGTACACGTGTCTCTTTCAGATCTGGTTTCCTCAGTGTGTATGCCCAGGAGTGGGATTGCTGGGTCATATGGCAGTTCTATTTCCAGTTTTTTAAGAAATTCCACACTGTTCTCCATAGCGGCTGTACTAGTTTGCATTCCCACCAACAGTGTAAGAGGGTTCCCTTTTCTCCACACCCTCTCCAGCATTTATTGCTTGTAGACTTTTGGATAGCAGCCATCTTGACTGGCGTGTAATGGTACCTCATTGAGGTTTTGTTTTGCATTTCTCTGATAATGAGTGATGTGGAGCATCTTTTCATGTGTTTGTTAGCCATCTGTATGTCTTCTTTGGAGAAATGTCTGTTTAGTTCTTTGGCCCATTTTTTGATTGGGTCATTTATTTTTCTGGAATTGAGCTTCAGGAGTTGCTTGTATATTTTTGAGATTAATCCTTTGTCTGTTTCTTCATTTGCTATTATTTTCTCCCATTCTGAAGGCTGTCTTTTCACCTTGCATATAGTTTCCTTTGTTGTGCAAAAGCTTTTAAGTTTAATTAGGTCCCATTTGTCTATTTTTGCTTTTATTCCCAATATTCTGGGAGGTGGGTCATAGAGGATCCTGCTGTGATTTATGTCGGAGAGTGTTTTGCCTATGTTCTCCTCTAGAAGTTTTATAGTTTCTGGTCTTACATTTAGATCTTTAATCCATTTTGAGTTTATTTTTGTGTATGGTGTTAGAGAGTGTTCTAGTTTCATTCTTTTACAAGTGGTTGACCAGTTTTCCCAGCACCACTTGTTAAAGAGGTTGTCTTTTTTCCATTGTATGTTCTTTCCTCCTTTGTCGAAGATAAGGTGTCCATAGGTACATGGATTTATCTATCTCTGGGCTTTCTGTTTTGTTCCATTTATCTATATTTCTGTCTTTGTGCCAATACCATACTGTCTTGAAGACTGTGGCTTTGTAGTAGAGCCTGAAGTCAGGCAGGTTGATTCCTCCAGTTCCATCATACTGCATTTTAAAATCTGGAGTTCAAATCTCCATGACAATCTAAAAGATGCCCTCCACACACACACAAAGAATATATGAATAATATGGACTGAGGATGTGAAGTAGCATTTAATAAAAATAAGAACATAGAAATTCAACCTCCTTGTAGTCAAATGCACATCAAAATAAGGTACTACTTTCTGTTTTTCATTTTTAATCAGATGAGCAAAAATTAAGTTTCTTGATACCTAGTGCTAACGGGGGGAGATGGAAAAATGGAACATTCTCATGCATTGTTTGTGGGTTAGTTAGGAATGTACTTTTCTGAAAGTAATAGAAAAACCCATTTATTGAAAATAGTTTAAACAAGTAGGGACTTATTTTCTGTTGCAGTATAAAGTTGGCATGTTAGCAGTTTGATGATGTCGGGGCTGGCATTTCTTCATTTTTCTGGCCAGTTCTTTTGACTTTGTTAATATCGGTTGTTTCAGATATGTTCACGTGCAAGGTAAGAAGAAAGTAGTAGAGCCTACACTATTTGCTGACTGTCTTTTTTATCAAAAAAGCAAAATCTCTACAAGAGCTCTGCAGCAGATGTCTTTTCAGTCTCATAATCCTTACACGGGGTTAGGTATATTGCCGTGCTGAACAAAAACAAGCATCAGCCCAGTTATATAGGGAGAGCAACCATTAACACCAACTAATATTTTTAGTGTATTTTATTTGGTATAAATTCTTACAGATTTGTGTGTAGCATCTATATAATATATATGTAGTAGATATCTTTCTATTAACACAGGTGCACATATTTCTTGTATTATTTCATTGTACAGATATGGCATTTATTAAAGGAGTGTACTTAATACTGCCATCTCTTTTCGCTATAATACAGTGTTCTAGAGAATGCTTTTAATCAAATGCTTTTTGACTGATTATTTACCTCTTTTAAATTATATTGTACTGTGTGAACTACTTAAGTATTCAGAGTGTAGTTTAGGAGTAAATCAGTTTTATTGTCTGTTTAGTTTTGAGAATAATCCCTAATTTAAAAAAAAGACATGCCGTATAATTTAATGATTCAGGTTCCATTTAAACTGTTAGTGGAAGAGATGAAGTGACTTGTGAAAAAATAATAATTCTTTATTATTTTATGGCTTTAACTGTAAGATGACATAATTTAAAAGACTTCACGATACGTGGTAAAACTTTCATAAGTACAGTGTTTTGTGGTTTTTTTTTGGTTTTTCTTCTGGCTGCCTGGCTTGTGGGATCTAAGTCCCCCAACCAGGGATCAAACCCAGGGCCCCTGCAGTGAGAGCACTGGGCTGCCAAGGAATTCTCTCATGAATATGTTTTTAATAATATTTAATCACTTTAAAAGTGACTCTTTAATTTTTTAAAATAATATGTCTTCTATAATAAAATCTTCTAGAATTAAAAATTATAAATATATTTCAACAGTATTAACCTTCTCTTTTCTAAAAATCTGCCTTGAGCTATGTTGTGCATTTCCCTGTGGAACATTTATGTCCATTATCACAGTTTGTTTTATTAGTTTTACCTGTAGTCTCCAGGATAGATATTAAAAATATTGCTGTTTGTCAGGATTGGTAGCAGGATAGAATTCATACATTAAATTTCAGATTCTTAGCTAGCTGAGAAGCATTGAATTCAAGATATGGTTGCTTCTTTAGGGAGCTAGCACAATATTCAGTTGTTTTATAGATGAAAGAACTAGTTTTTGCTCAGCCAACAATAAGTGGCAGAATTTTGGAACATTTATATGTTACAGAATTTAATTTATAATGTAAAAACTATTAAACCTGATTATGACTTATAGGAGAGTTCAAGAATCAAGTTAATGTATTCTTTTAATAGCTAACTTAGGCTTTTAAAAGATGGCTTTGATAATGCCAAATAAACATTTGGAAGATGTTTCTCTTTGTTTCCACAGATCATTAACTGAAGGCGAAATAAACAGCTATGCAAAACTCTCACATGGAGGAGTACAGAAATTCCAGCAATGGCAGCATCGGCAGCAGTTCAGAGGCAGTGGGAGAGCAGTCTGCTGATTTTAGTACTGAGATTATGAATGTTACAGAAATGGAGCAGTCACCCGATGGATCTCCTAATGTGAACGCAACTACAGAAGAAAATGAAATTGCAAGTACTGTGGACCTTCCAGTGACAGAAACAGAAGCAAATTTCCCTCCAGAATATGAAAAGTTTTGGAAAACTGTAGAAAGTAATCCTCAGGATTTTACCGGCTGGGTATATTTGCTTCAGTATGTAGAACAGGAGGTTAGTAATTATTTCAATGGGATTACATTAAACAACTAATATGAGACTAAGCCTTACTGTTTTGTAATTGAAGTTGCCTCTTTTGTAATTTTCAGATTAAGTTGAATAAATTATATGTATTTTAGCTTCAAAAAATAGCTATCATGGCATTTGTACATTATAGAAAGTATTATAATCAAATTCTAATGTTTGTAAAGACTGGTGTGTGTACGTATATGTGTATAAAATTGCTAAAGTTAAAAAAAAAAATTACCCTGCTGTTTGACAGAATGAGTTCCTTCTGTTTCAAAGCTGTCAAGTGTATAGTTTTTAAGCCTGCCGTTTATTTTATTTGAGATAGTACAGGCATACCTCATTTTATTGCGCTTTACTTTATTGAACTTCATAGATACTACATTTTTCGCAAAGGTTTGTGGCAGTCCTGCATTGAGAAGGTCTGTTGGTGCTGTTTTTACAACAGTGTTTGCTCACTTCCTGTCTTGTTCACATATTTGATATTTTTTACCATATTTCAGACTTTTTCATTATTTGTTATAGTCATCTGTGATCAGTGGTATTTGATATTACTGTTTTATAATTGTTTTGGCAATTCGTAGCAATAAAGTAGTTTAAAATTAAGGTATGTATGTTGCTTTTTTTAGACATAATACTATTGTGTACTTAGTAGACTACAGTAGAATATAAACAGAATTTTTATGTGCACTTGGAAACAAAAAAAATTGTGTGACCTGCTTTATTGTGATACACATTTTGTAACAGTGGTCTGAAATCAAACCCGCAATACTTCTGAGGTATGCCTGTACATTAGAAAGAATAATAAATGCTTTTGTGACAGAAATTTTCAAGATGTTTAAACACTTTGTTTTATTTTCATCAGAATCACTTGATGGCTGCCAGGAAAGCATTTGACAAATTTTTCATACACTATCCGTATTGCTATGGTTATTGGAAAAAGTATGCAGATCTTGAAAAGCGACATGACAACATTAAACAATCAGATGAGGTACGTACATTACTGAATAAAATTATCTCCATTAGGTACTGTAAGCCAAATAATAACAAAGCAAAGACTGTTTTTTTTTTGGCTGGCAGTACCTACGATTTATGGTCAAACAATTTTACAGGGTATTTTATTTGCATTTGTCACTCTTGTGGCATTTGTAGCTAATATTTTCTCTCTTTGTTGGCAGGTGCGTTAAACCTCTACAGTTTGTCAAGCTTTGCAGTGCAAGCCTCTGTATTACACTGCAGCTTAACAAGTAGGGCAGGGCTTTTCTCTCACTTGCATTTATTTCTCATTTTCCAAACAATATAGTTGGTTTGCTAGTCACATTTGCTACGTCTTATTGCATTTTTGGTCAGACGCTGTCATTGATGCTCTAATGGGTCTGTGCCCTATGGTCTGTAACCCAAAGCCTGCCCACACAGCCCGGTCAGAATGCAGGGACTGCTGCGCTTTGAAGATCAAGACTCTGCACGTGGGGATCAGAACATTGCCATGTTCTATCCAACCTCCACCCAAATGGTAATGGTAGATTATTTAAACAAAATTCCAGTAATTAGTATTTCTAAGGTTCACCGGATAACACAGTGTTGCCTCTCTGTCAAGACATAACTAAATACTTGAAGTGCAGTTTGTTCTTTTCTTCTTAGGTGTATCGCCGGGGACTTCAGGCAATACCTCTGAGTGTTGACCTTTGGATACATTATATAAACTTCTTAAAAGAAACACTGGACCCTGGTGATCCTGAGACGAACAGTACTGTAAGAGGGTATGTGAAAATAAGTATTTAAGTCAGGTATTCTGATATTGATAGTAGAATTAATTGTCAATGCTAAACTGAAAGTTAAACTTTTGTATACTTCTTTTTCACTATAAAAAATACCCTAGTAAACTTATGATTATTAAAAAATGTCCATAATAAAGCCCTCCACCATTCCATACCCTGTTTTCTTATGTCTCCAATCCCTCTCCCTTCAGAGTAAATGACTTGGTGTTTATTTTTTGAGATACACATAGATATACATATATATGTGTGTATACCATTATACATATTTGTCTTTTTTTTTTTTTTAATTAACAGTGTTCTAGACTTTCTCCCTACCATTTTTTAACCTTATAGTATCAAGGTAGTGTATTTTATTTAACCAGGTCTTTATAGGAAATAGTGCTGTAGTGAACATCTCTCTAAGTCAGTATTTATGTAGAGACTACAGAAATGGAACTTGTGTCAAAGGAAATACACAGCTACATTTATCACATGTAAAGTGGTACCAGCTTTAAACTGTTGTGGTGTGTGAGGGTATAGGCATTTTCCCAGTCATGGCATATTTTTTTTAACCTCCTGTAGTGTTTCATTATCTGAATTCACGTATCTCTAGGTTTCTTGGTTTACATATCTTGGTTTACCATCTTTTCAGATGCTATGTATATAAGCCATTTTCACATTGCCTGTTTATATGATTTGATTATTTTACTTTGGAATTGTCCTTATTGCTGATTATAGGAGTTTAAAATGTATTTTTGGTTTTTATTTTTATCAAAGTATGTGCATATAGTTTAGACAGTTAATATTAAACTACTTGTAACAAAAAGTGGTCCCTCCACCTCTCTTCAGATATTTTAGCTCTTTCTTCTATTATTTTCCAACATGTTGATAGCAATAGCACTCTACTGCTTTCTGCTTCTCTTTCACTAGCTGTAGATATTATCATTCTGTTATGGTATATGAGAATTTTTAGTTCATTTATACCCTGTCTTCCCATTCCTCATCTTTCCTATATGGATAGGTTTCATAGCTTTTTGTTTTTCCTTTGATTACCCCTTCTCTTACCTCTGCCTCTTTTTCCATTTCCTGTCTTTCTTGGAACACTTAAAATTTTCTACCCCTTCCAGCAGCTACTTTCAGCAGTCAATACTAATACTCACTTTCCACAATTACAAATGCTATCTGTGTAAGTTATTTTTTTGAAAGTAAAAAAATGCATGTATTGTGTTATTCTACTTAATCTGAAAATTATAGAAAGAGAATTATGTTCTGAGATCTGTAAATTCTACCCTGGCCCCTTGGAGATACCCTCCTGGGACCCCCTCTTCTGTAATCTGCACTGGTGGTTCTATTCTGAGTCTTTTGTATGGCAGCTGTTTACAGGTTTCCTTATTACCATCATCCTCTTTACCGTCTAAGTTCTGTTTATTAGTTTATTAATTAGATTCTGTTCTTTCTTGGTTCTTACATACCTTTAGAGGAGTGAATTCCATAACTTTCTGATAAAGGATGCTTGAAATGAAAAAAAATTTTTTTAATTTGTATATCTGAAACACCCAATTGATGAATCCCGTGGGGTATAGAATTTTGAGTTGAAAGTAATACTTCCTTAGGGCCTTAAAGCATTTTCCATTGGGTATTTTTGTCATGTAGAGGTGTTTGTTTTTTTCTTAACGTGGTTCAATTTTCAGTCTTTTATTAGTTTCTGAGTTTTGTGCCTGTCTTGACAAGAATATATAAATCGTGAGTTTTCTACTAATTCTTTTTGTAGACTTTTTTTTTCCTGTCCTTGATTTATCTGATTCTTAGTTTGTACCTTTTGTGAGACAGATTAACCTTAGTTTGTGTCTTTTGTGAATCAGAGATTAACATTTTTTTTTCTTCCATTTGTTGAACTGTCTTTTCTTCATTGGCTTATTTTTTTCTGTATGGATTTAAAATACCAATACTTTTTTATCATATTCTAAATTGTCACATGTATATGGGTTTATTTTCTTGAGAACTGTTTTATTAATTCATTTTGATGATACTGGGTCAGTGTTGTGCCTTTAATTTCTATAGCTTCCTAGTTTCCTTGGAGACCTTTCAGGAAAAAGCCTGCTTCTTTATCCTTTTAGAAAAATATTTTGTATTTTTATGTGTTAGATGAATGTTAGAATTTGTTTTCTCTGTTCCACCTAATTCTTAGTGCTTTGGTTGGGATTCTGTTTAGTTTTAGATTACTTTAGATAGTATATATAGTTCTATGCTGTTAAAACCCCCTCTTGATTATAATATATATTTTGAAAATATGTATCTAAAATTTTATCCCATTGAGGTATCAAATCCTGTGATTAAAATTGCTTACAGAAATCTCTTGAAATGAGCGCAAATATTTTAACATAAAGGACTTTTTAGCAAACTTTAATTGTGGAATTTTAGAATCAGGAGAGAATTTTAAGTTTTAAAGTTTATGTATATTTCTCATTACCCAAAGAGGCAGCTGGGCCCCCTCGTTGGAGAGTTGCTTTGTCAGAAAACTGTTTCTTAAAAATAAGATAAATTTTGTCACTTTGTCTTTTGCCCTAGAGGAATCTATTCAACATACATTTCAAGTTTAATGAGTATTTTAGTGTCTGCTCTGTCACTCTTACATGTTTGTAGTGTAACTTGCATTGCAAATTTATAGCATATAAAATAATATACAGCTACATAAAAGTACATTTACCTATTCCCTTTATATTTTCTCTTTTTTTAAGCAGCTGTCACACACACTTGTCTATTATTCCTTCTTTTAATCTGTACTTGTAAAGTTGCCTGTAACTTTGAATTTAACATTATCTTCTAAAACTTAGAAATATTTTGTTTTCAAAATTGAGGTATAATTGACATATAAATTATATTAATTTCAAATGTATGACTTATTGATTTGATACTTGTATATATTGCAAAATGCAGAAATAACATATTTAAAGTGGTTTTTATCTTGGAAAGATAACGTAGAGGTAATTTAATTTTTCAGAACGTTTGAGCATGCTGTTCTAGCTGCGGGAACAGATTTCCGATCGGACAGACTGTGGGAGATGTATATAAACTGGGAAAATGAACAGGGAAACCTGAGAGAAGTTACAGCTATATATGATCGTATTCTTGGTATTCCAACACAACTGTATAGTCATCATTTTCAGAGGTGGGTGGAAAAATCAGATCATTAAAATTTTTTTGTGATTACTCAGGTAATTAATTTCTAATATTGAGGATAATTATTCTCTTGAAATGGAAGATTCTATTAGATGCAAACAGATTTATTTTGCTCAATAATCACAATTTATATTCACTTTAAAATTTTGATATTTTCAATATAGTTGATGAACTTCACTGGTTTTTATAAGGTTCCCTTGATCTGTTTTATGGATGAGGGAACAGCAGGACTTCTCTCTCTTGTTTAGGATGTTTCAGAGTAGTGAAAATAATCTAAGCTTTATTATTCTTACGGGTAGCTCAGTATATAGCACATAATAAAAGCTTATTTGAAATGTAATAATTTACTCAAGGTACATTCTTGTGATTCATACAGTGAAGAATGTATTTTTTGTAGTTAAGTCCTATTTATATTCAAACAATCAAAAATTATTTCGGTTTCATTTTCTATTATGATAATCTGTTATGATTGGTATCATTTCATTTTAATGAACACTGTATAAAACAACTATTTCTGTGTACTGTGATTTGCGTGTTCTGTTTGATATATTCAAGTATCCCACTGATAAAGACTCAGTCTTTCTGAACAAGAAAGTATGAGGACTGTGTTGATAAATGTTTGCTCTTCTTAAGTGCCATATTGTCTATATTTGTGTCATAATTTTTATAACTAGGATTGTGGTAGAACCTGTAAACTTAAGTACTTCTTAAGTAAGTGATTTTCTGAAATTTTCTTTACTGAAAAAGTAGAAAACTTCATGAAGCATTTGCAGATAACTGTGGATCAATTTGCTAAATCTCTGCAGACCCACATTAGAAATAGGAAACGTGGGTCTGAATATGCCATCTCTTTTTTTTTTTTTTTTTTCATGAAATTTAGAGGAGTGTGCAGGTTTCTAGGGTATGAATGATCTAGGAAGATACTTGCTGAAAGAGATTAACACAAGGATTGGCATCTGGAAATTCTTGGTGAATATTTGTTGGTCAAATTTTAAAAGTTAAATATTTTTAATTATTTTTAAAACCTTTAAAAAGAGATTTTAAAAGTCTTCTGGGACAAAGAAGTTTCCTTTCATAAATCAATTCTTCTAGGGTCTAAAGTATAGGTAAAACCTATGATTATAATTTTATTGTTGGTGACTGAGAAAAAATAAGACTAAGAAGCAGTTATACAGACAGTATTCTGAGTGCCTTATAACTTTTAATCCTCACCATGGAGGTATCATACTGGTATTTTCTACATTTTATGAAAGTAGAGGTAAAGAAAGATTAAAATATTTGCATAAGATTACAGAGTTAGTAAGTGCTTGGAAGCTGATTGGAACTTAGCATGGCCCCAAAGTTCTTGGTGTAGTTTTCTAAATCTTTTTTTTTTTTTTTTTAATGAATATTTCACTGGGTTTTTAAAATGCATGTATACTTACAACAGAGATTTAGTGGGTTGCGTTTTACATACTACTTCTTAATCTTGTCTTTTTTGCTTAATGAGAACCACTTTCCTTATGCGTGTACCAGACTGATAAATAGTATTTGTATCAGTAAATCTTATAGTTTATATAAATAAACTAATTCCCTTGACTAACTGCTTTAATAACTGCTGAAATGGTTTCTTATGTCAAATATACTTGCCCTATTTAGCACTTGCTGTGTACCAGATGATATGCATTTAATTTGAAGGAATAAAGGCCTGTAGAAGATATGTGTGCATTGACTTGGCCCTTAAGTTACTCATAAGTGTAGAAGAGGAAGCATGTGCTAAGAAGTGTTCTAAGTGCTGTAATACAAATACTTTATTGTGTAGGCTTGTATATTGGTTGTACACTGAACATTATCTCTAAGAAAACATCTAATTTAAAATCCCCCTAGCATGAATACTTTTGTGGTATGATCTAACTCCTCAGGTTCAGTCCCTGGTAGTTCCTAAGCTCTAGATAAACTTAAGTACTGATAATTTCCCAATGGGCAGTGTTGATTTATACTTTTATGACTGTAATGCCTTTTCCACTTTTCATTTATCTGGTGAACTCATTCCTCAGGACCCATATAGCTTAATGTTTTCTCTATGACACTTTTTCCAGTTCACCTAAACAGAACTGTTTTATCATTTGTGCCAGCACTCTACCTACATTTATTTCATTTTTCTTACCACTAATAACACTCCTTTGAATTTACGTCTCCTGTATCCTCTACATGTCTGTCATTTTCTGAGGCTTTTTAATTCTTTTTATGATTGAAAAAACCCCTAATGCTGGGAAGGATTGAGGGCAGGAGGAGAAGGGGGAGGCAGAGGATCAGATGGTTGGGATGGCATCACTGACTCAGTGGACATGAGTGTGAGCAAGCTACAAGAAATTGTGAAGGATAGGGAAGCCTGGTGTGCTGCAATGCATGGGGTCACAAAGAGTCAGACACAACTTAGCGACTGAAAAATGCTCATCCTTAATACGAAGGAAAACAGTTCCATATGTATTAGGCACTCAGCCATTCTATTAATAGATTGAATAAATTAGCTTTATAGTAGAAAAAGCTAATGAAAAAGTATTATGCATATGTTATCACCATGTGAAAGAAGTTTCTAATATAACATGGCAGCTGTTTTAAAATTTATTTTAAAACTTATTTCAAGTTTCTTATCTATATATTGACAATTTTTAATGTTAATATATGAGAATTGTTTATTTTCACGCTACACATTTGAGAGTTACTTCCTCATTTAAAATTTTTTTAAAATAAGGGAATCTATATTTTTTTCCTCCTGGTGATAAAATATATCAAGGTAAGCCTCTGTATTCATTGATTTTGCAAAATTTAATTTCCAATGTTATTTACATACATTTGTAAAAGTTTTTTTTTTTTTTTTGCCATACCTTGTGGCATGCGGCATCTTAGTTCTCTGACCAGGGATCAAACCTATGGCCCCTGCATTAGAAGTGCAGAGTCTTAACCCATGGACTGCCAGGGTGGTCCCTATGGAAGTTTTAAAATCCATGTATCAGTAGCCTACATTAGTTTTAAAAAACTTTGGGGGAAATCCAAAAGTTATGGTACGTGTACAACCATCTCTGAGAATTAGGTTGAAGATGCAGGCCTGGGTCAGAGGCTAGGTCAAAATATGAAAGACTTCATGGAGACTGGATTTTAGTCTGAATGCAGGGTAAGCATTGAAGTGATTTTGGGGATGAGGATGAGATATGATCCTGTTTACTAGTTTCTCATGTTTATTTTTTAATAACATTTTTGATAGCAGTATTGAGGTGGGAGTGGGAGGAGACAATATCAGGACACAGGTTTATGTTTATTTTGGTAAATAATGAGGGGGTCATGGAGCCATATTTAGAAGGTAGACTAAATTGGACCTGGTATGTAAGACCAGGAATGTAGGACCAATGGAATGTAAGAAATAAGGTAGGTGGAAGAGATTGGGAAACTTAGCGGTTGACAATATCAAGATTAGAAATGCCTGAGGGTGTTGATTTGTGGATGAAAGTGATACACTTGAAGACATGTATGTAAGGTTCCAATTTAAGATGGTGTAGATATTTTAGCTCCTCAGCTTTGTGTTTTTGATTAAAATTTGTATGTATGTGTGTATATATAAACTAGTATGTGTAGATAAATGAAATTACATGTTTTTCAAAACAGTCTTTGCTTAAAATCTGTATTTCTTTATGCAGAGTGTTGGCAAGTGAATCTGAAATTTAGGGGAAAGGTTTGGGCTTTCCTGATGGCTCAAATGGTAAAGAATCTGCCTGCAATGTAGGAGACCCGGTTTGATCCCTGAGTCGGGAAGATCCCCTGGAAAAGGGAATGGCTTCCTGCTCCAGTATTCTTGCGTGGAGAATTCCATGGACAGAGGAGCCTGATGGGCTACAGTCGCAAAATGTCGGACACACAAAGATCACAACTGAGCGAATAACATTTTTTTTCACTTTAGGCTTAAATTAGAGTTGTAAAAGTCATCACAATATGCTTATTATTTCAAGCTATATTAATAAGATTGGCCAGAAAGTATATAAAAACATATCACAACTAAATGTAGAGTAGAATCCTTGGGCATACTAGTATTTAGGGGCAGACTGGAGTGGGGACCCCTCAAAGGAGATCAAGGAGCAGTCAGAGACTTGGAGGAAAACCAGGAAGGTAGTAACTCAGAGCCAACAAGTATCCATTTAATTTTTCTTATACGGGGTACTTGGTGACTTTAATTAGGGCAGTTTCATTGGAGTATTTGGCATAGACATATGAATTCAGGAGTAATTGGGAGGTGAGTTCTAAAGGAGCTGCAAAATTTGTTGCTCATTTATAAGTAATCATTTATTATTTAGATATGGATTGCTTATTTAACTTTACAGATGAGAAAACTAACAGAGAAGGGAAAAACTTCAAGTCAAATAATTAGTAATGGACAAAAGTAGGATTTCAGTGTATGACTTGCCTTCATCATTCCATTGCAAAGGCAGGAAGGAAATGAAGATGTCTGTACATTGTTTTATCAAGTGGTGTAGGTTATTACTATAGAAAAGGAGGAGAAAAGGTGTGGGGGGTTTTTTTGTTTTAAGTCAGAGTTCCTTTGAAAGAATAACGTGTAAGTAGAAATGTGATGTGGGATCTAAAGTTATGCTTTATATATAGAGCTTGTATTTTTATTGTCTTCCATTAGATTTAAAGACCATGTCCAGAATAATTTGCCTAGAGATCTTCTAACTGGTGAACAGTTTATTCAGCTGAGAAGGGAATTAGCTTCTGTAAATGGGCATAGTGGTGATGATGGTCCTCCTGGTGATGATCTGCCATCAGGAATAGAAGACATAACTGATCCAGCAAAGGTAACCAGACTTACTAAAAAAAAAATTTCCATGTGTGAGAAACTATAGACTTTATGTCCCTTGACTGCATGTGTGGTATGATTTGTAGCTCTTATAAAATTAATTTCTGATTAAGGCAGGTAAGAATTATTTAGCTGCTGCTGCTAAGTTGCTTCAGTCGTATCCGACTGTGCGACCCCATAGACAGCAGCTCACCAGGCTCCCCCGTCCCTGGGATTCTCCAGGCAGGAACACTGGAGTGGGTTGCCATTTCCTCCTCCAATGCATGAAAGTGAAAGTGAAGTCGCTCAGTCGTGTCCGACTCTTAGCGACCCCATGGACTGCAGCCTACCAGGCTCCTCCATCCATAGGATTTTCCAGGCAAGTACTGGAGTAGTGTGCCATTGCCTTCTCCAGGAATTCTTTAGCTAGTGTGGTTTAAATATAGATTTAAAGCAGATGATCTGTTTTACTAAGAGACACCTGAAACTAAATTAGTGTAAAAGGATAATTTCACCTATGTTGTGATGTACTAGACCTGTTGTTTTTTTAAGGCATATAAGAAAGTGGTTTATTATGAAAATCTGTTACTAATTTCAGTATCGTTAATTGTACTTTGCCATAATTGATAACAGAAACCCATCACTAAGATTAAAGTGTGGATAATACTTAAATGTAAGCAGTGATATTTTAAAATTTTAGTATATAACTTACATGTTTAAATCTTTTTTCTTCCCAAGCTTATTACAGAAATAGAAAATATGAGACATAGAATCATTGAAATTCATCAAGAAATGTTTAATTATAATGAGCATGAAGTTAGTAAAAGGTGGACATTTGAAGAAGGTGTAAGTGTTTTGCTTTTTTGTTGTCGTCGTTAATAGGCTTCAAAATACAGATAGGAATAATGTATTTTTCTTTTAGTTTTGAGTGATGTCTCTGCTTTTTATTTTCGCTTGTTTAAGTAATTGTTGCATTTATGGCTGCCATTATCAATTTTCTGTTATCAACTTTAGAAATATTGAATTCAAATTTATTTGAATTACAAGTTACCTGTCTAATCTGAACCGTTTTACTACAGTTCAGTTTATAAAATCAACTTCATTGAGTCATTTCATGTAATATAACAAAATGTACCTATTTTAAATAGAGTAAAATGAGGGCTTTTACTTCTTTAAGCATTTTATTGAGATGTAATTCACATGCCATATACTTAAAGTGTACACTTTAGTAGTTAATATATTCACAGATATGTACCTACAGATATTTTTAGAACATTTAATTCATGTTAATTTTAGGACATTTCATCACTTTTGAAAAACTCTTTAGCTTTTACCCCTCACCTGCTTACTCTTCCCTACTACCAACTCCAAGTTACCACCTAACCTACTTCTATTCTTATAGATTTCCCTGTTCTGGCCTTTTATATGAATGGAATCATGTAGTATGTGTTGTTATTTTTTTTGTGATTGGCTAGTAAAATGACATTTGACAAGCATTGTGATTATCACAACAGTAAGCATATAGGACTATCCTGTCACCTCAAAAGGTCCCCTTTGGCTCCTTTTCAAGTCAGTAACCACCTGACTCAGCCCCAGGCAACTGCTTATCTACCTTATTTATTTATTTTTTTAATATTCACTATTTTTTTTTTTAGATTCCACATATAGGTGATAGGACACAGTATTTGTCTTTATCATTCTATTTCACTAAGTATGATGGTCTAGTTACATCTGTGTTGCAGAAAATGGCATTATTTCATTCTTTTTTATGGCTGAGTAGTATTCCATTGTTGTGTCTGTATGTATATATACTACATCACTTTATCCATTCATCTGTGATGGACACTGATCTGCTTACCGTTTACTCTTGTGTAATTGTTCAGTTCTAAAATACTCAGCAAAGAATAAAATGTTCTGAACATAAAATTGTGTAGTTTTGTTAAAATAACTGGATAATTGGAAAATAATTTTGTTCCTTCAATTTATAAAACCTAAGTAATTAAAGGGATTTTAACTTTAAAAATCTTTTTAATCATGAGATGTGGTGATTGAACTTTTCTGGTTCATTATTTATAATTGAAGCAATTTGCATTACTGTAATAATGCATGTTTGGTGGTGGTTTACTTTCATTGTCATGCCATGCTTCTATTACAGATTAAAAGACCATATTTTCATGTGAAACCATTGGAAAAGGCACAACTGAAAAACTGGAAAGAATACTTAGAATTTGAAATTGAAAATGGGACTCATGAACGAGTTGTAGTTCTCTTTGAAAGATGTGTCATATCATGTGCCCTCTATGAGGAGTTTTGGATTAAGGTAAGAAAATTATATGGTCTGAAACTTGAATATATTATAAACATTGATCTAGTGACTAACCTTTTTTGTACTTCTGTTGAATGTTGTTCATATAACTATATCTGTTGCATTAGGAGATGGTCTGCTTGCAACCAGATTTGACTGCTGCATATGCCAACCTCGTTGCCTCTCCGTCCTTCCTTACAGAAACTAGTCTAGTGGTTCAATAAAGGTGCTGAATGGGTTTAAAAATAGAATTTTATCGTTCTGTCACATATTTAATGGCTTGTTCAACTGTAAATTATTCAGTATTTCCTCTGTTTCTGTATGTAGTATGCCAAGTACATGGAAAATCATAGCATTGAAGGAGTGAGGCATGTCTTCAGCAGAGCTTGCACTATTCACCTCCCAAAGAAACCCATGGTGCATATGCTTTGGGCAGCTTTTGAGGAACAGCAGGGTAAGAATGAGGAAATTCAGTTGATATTTTGGGATTTAAGTTACTTTGGGATAAAGATATAGGAATTGAGTCTCAGGAACTGGTGTAAAGCAGAGGTCAGGTAAACTTTTTCTGTAAAGGGCCAGATGGTAAATATTTTGGCTTTGCAGGCTATATGGTCTCTTTCCTAACAACTCTGCCATGGTAGCCTGAAAATAGCCATACAAAATACATAGACAAATGAGCATGGCTATTTTCCATTAAAAAAAAAAAAAAATGATCAGATAACTGGATTTAGCCTGTGGGCTGTTATTTGCCAATACATGGCATAAAGGATATTTGCTAAGTTTAATCAAAAGCACAAACATTTAATTACTATTTCTAGGTAATATTAATGAAGCCAGGAATATCTTGAGAACATTTGAAGAATGTGTTCTAGGATTGGCAATGGTTCGTTTGAGAAGAGTAAGCTTAGAACGACGTCATGGAAATATGGAAGAAGCTGAACGTTTGCTTCAGGAAGCCATTAAGAATGCCAAATCAAATAATGAATCATCATTCTATGCTATCAAACTAGCCCGACATCTTTTCAAAATACAAAAAAACCTTCCAAAATCAAGAAAGGTGCTTTTGGAAGCTATTGAAAGAGACAAAGTATGTATTTGTGTTTTTTTTAGAGTATCTTCCATAAAAAATTGGTCTTTCTTGGTGGTTTTTTCATTTTGGCAACTATGATGAAAGATTTGGTCTGTATGTAATATGTTTTATTACTAAGTGAAGACAACAGTCCCTCTAAACTGATGTTGCCATTCTTTCAAAAAATTTTCACATTATTATTATGCATTAAAACATTGAGAAAATTAACATTATAGGATTAAAACTATGGCTAATATTGTTTTACATTTTCTATTTTCTCCACATTCAGAAATTTTGTGGCAAATTTACCGATTATTAAGTAGATTAGAGGGCCTGGGAGAAACTATAAACAAAGGCATGGTAATTGCCTACATTGTAGCATTATTGCCTACATTGTGAGATTATTCTCCTCTTATGTAAAGTATATAAATTATTTCCTTTTATATGTCAATTAATGCCAAAAGACAGTGCCTGGGAAATTTCTCAGTTTTTAGATTTTCAGCAAATACCGTGTTTGTTTAGCACCCAGGTTTATAACAGGTTTGCTTCCAGCTGCAGTTGAGGATGATCATCTGTGATTGTTACTGGGGCATGTAGAGATCATTTTTTAGTGTTTTACTTCATATTTGTTGTGGTAGGTCAAGCACACTAAATAGGATATAGGATTTTAATTTATTGGCATAACAATGTGCATAGTTTAGAAGATTCTATCTACCAACGTGTGTGTTAGTTTTTTTAACCTGTTTATATGTATGCTGAAAATATTTTAACATGAGTTACATTTTAATACAATTTTCAATATTGAATATTTAAAGTTGAGACATGAACATTAAGGCATTTTAAATATCTATGGTCTAATCAAAATATCTTAGAAATATATGATTAATTGGTACTGCTTTTTACACAGGAGAACACAAAGTTATACCTCAATTTACTTGAAATGGAATATAGTGGTGACCTCAAACAAAATGAAGAAAATATCCTAAATTGTTTTGACAAAGCTATACATGGTTCATTACCTATTAAAATGAGAATTACATTTTCTCAGAGAAAAGTGGAATTTCTTGAAGATTTTGGTTCAGATGTTAATAAGTAAGATCTTAATTATATATTATCTATTTGAATAGTAAAAGAACATTGATTATTTTGGATGGGACTTTGATGATGAGTACAAAGTAGAATATTGTTAAATTTTAAATGTTTCTTAGGTTCCTTTTTTCCTTAGGTATGTATGGGGGTAAATTCAATTTTGCAAACGTTTATGTGCTTAATAAGAGGACATATGGTTTGTCTTTCCTTCAAAACTATTTTCAGAATTTTAGCGTGGTAATTTTAAACAATGAGCAGATGAGAGAAGGCAGGAAGCAGGAATTCTGTGAGAAAGAGAGCGAGTGAAGGAGTGAACTGTGAATCACAGAAACATTTGATATATAGGTCACCAAGGCTGTGTGTGGTTAATCTGGAATAGGAATGCAATCTCAGGTTGGAGAAGAATGAGTGTGGTGCCAAGATCATGCTTAATGGCCTAATTTTCATGTATTGTAAAAAGCTAAAAGATAAGGGTGGTAAGAGTTTCCCCTAGCGAAAAGGACAAGTTTAAGATTTAAATTTGCAAAATAGAAAAAATACTGATGAGAACGTTGCTGCCATTCCTTTCTTACCTGATTCTAGTATAGAAATACCCTAATTCCTGTTAGGCAAGTGTGTAAACATTTTTGATGGCTGAGTAAGATTTTAATTAAACTAAAAACATTTAACGTGAGTTACCTTTTAATACAGTTGTATATATGTGCTTGGCATATTAAATGTTTTATAATTACCTAATGTGAAACACATTGACAGTCTATAAGGAGGGGAAAAGGTACTGTTCTCTTTATAGACAAAGAGGCTAAAGAGAGATTAGGCAGTTTTTCCAAGGTCTCTTAGCTATTTGTGCAGCTGGGATTAGAACCTACTACAGGGCCTATGTTCTTAACCACCTTATGTGATAGTTAAGAAGATACCTATATGTGTCTTTGTTTGTTTTGCACTGAAGAAAGTATGCAAAAGAAATAGCATATGTAATTCCATCTTTTAATCTAGGTGGATGGTATGGTGATAGATGTATGTATGTGAGGTAGTGTATAACTATTAAGAAGGCTGTGATCTCTTTGGAACAGAAGCGATTTGGCAACTTTCACAGAAGAGGTGGGGTTTCGTTTAGTTGTTGCTGGATTCTGATAAGCTTTGTTCAGTCACTCAGTCGTGTCTGACTCTTTGCAACTCCATGGACTGCAGCACACCAGGCCTCCCTGTCCACTGTCTCATGCAGTTTGCACAAGCTCATCTCCATTGAATCAATGATGCCATCGAACCATCTCGTCCTCTGTCGTCCCCTTCTCCTCCTGCCTTCTATCTTTCCCAGCATCAGAGTCTTTTCCAATGAATCAGCTCTTCACATCAAGTGGCCAAAGCATTGAAGCTTCAGCATTAGTCCTTCCAGTGAATATTCAGGACTGATTTCCTTTAGGATGGACTGGTTTGATCCCCTTGCAGTCCAAGGGACTCTTGAGCGTCTTCACCAGCACTACAGCTCAAAAAGCACCAATTCTTCAGTGCTCAGCTGACAGACTTAGGAGAGGCTATAAGTGGTGAAAGCAAATGAAAGTTCATGTAAAAGTAACACCTTCTACATTGGATTGGAGGGTTTTATGAAGCAGTGAAAGCTTGATGCTAAATGTGCTGTCTTGAAAGCTAGACTGAGTTCAGAGCACATGTGATAACATGGTTGACAGTAGGAAGCAGTTAAAAGTTTTGACTGAGATGAAATGACATTTAAATCTGGCAGTAATACACAGACAAATCTGAGATGCCAGTTAGGCCCTTGCGAATAGAGTTGTGGAGGGTCTGAGTATCAGGTCTGTTGTATATGAAATTTTAAAAAGAAATTATATGGAAAATGAACTGCTTAGATATTTAAATATAACTAATGAATTAATAAGAATTAATGTTCAAGTCAGACAAATACAGGCTTAAATCCTAGCTCTTAATGTTTTGTATGTAATGTATGTACATTAATGTAATGTATTCCTCAGTTTCCAGATTTTCTCAAATGAATATTGAGTCTCTTGTTGCCAACCCACAAGTTGTTAAACGTCTTAAGGAAGTTGTGTGTGTGTTTTACTAGCTCAGTTCAGTTCAGTTGCTCAGTGGTGTCTGACTCTTTGCAACCCCATGCACTGCAGCACACCAGGCCTCCCTGTCCATCACCAACTCCCAGAGGTTACTCAAACTTAGTCCATTGAGTCGGTAATGCTATCCAACCATCTCATCCTCTGTCGTCCCCTTCTCCAGCCTTCAATCTTTCCCAGCATCAGGATCTTTTCAAATGAGTCAGTTCTTCACATCAGGTGGCCAAAGTATTAAGAGTTTCAGCTGCAGCATCAGTCCTTCCAATGAATACCCAGGACTTAGCTTCTTCAGGATGGACTGGTTGGATCTCCTTGCAGTCCAAGGGACTCTCAAGAATCTTCTCCAACACCACAGTTCAGAAGCGTCAATTCTTCGGCACTCAGCTTTCTTTATGGTCCACATCCATACTTTATGGTCTCACATCCATACTTACCTACTGGAAAAACCATAACTTTGTCCAGGCGGACCTTTGTTGGCAAAGTAATGTCTCTGCTCTTTAATATGCTGTCTAGGTTGGTCGTAATTCTTTCAAGGAGCAAGCATCTTTTAATTTCATGACTGCAGCCATCATCTGAAGTGACTTTGGAGCCCAAGAAAATAAAATCTGTGTTCACTGTTTCCCCATCTATTTGCTATGAAATGATGGGACCAGATGCCATGATCTTAGTTTTCTGAATGTTGAGTTTTAAGCCAACTTTTTCACTCTCTCCTTTCACTTTCATCAAGACGTGTTCTCTTTCTGCCATAAGTGTTGTGTCATTTGCATATCTGAAGTTATTGATATTTCTCCCAGCAGTCTTGATTGCAGCCTGTGCTTCATCCAGTCCAGCATTTCACATGATGTACTCTGCATATAAGTTAAATAAGCAGGGTCACAGTGTACAGCCTTGACGTACTCCTTTCCCGATTTGGAACCAGTCTGTTGCTCCATGTCCAGTTTCAACTGTTGTTTCTTGGCCTGCGTACAGATTTCCCAGGAGGCAGGTCAGGTGTGGTCTGGTATTCCCACCTCTCTAAGAATTTTCCACAGTTTGTTGTGATCCACACAATCAAAGGTTTTGGAATAGTCAATAAAGCAGAAATAGATGTTCTTCTGGAATTCTCTTGCTTTTTCGATGATCCAACGGATGTTGGAAGTTTGATCTCTGGTTCTTTCTGCCTTTTCTAAATCCAGCTTGAACATCTGGAAGTTCACAGTTCACATACTGTTGAAGCCTAGCTTGGAGAATTTTGAGCATTACTTTGCTAGCATGTGAGATGAGTGCAATTGTGCGGTAGTTTGAACATTGTTTGGCATTGCCTTTCTTTGGGACTGTAATGAAACTGACCTTTTCCAATCCTGTGGCCACTGCTGAGTTTTCCAAATTTGCTGGCATATTGAGTGCAGCACTTTCACAGCATCATCTTTTAGGATTTGAAATAGCTCAACTGAAATTACATCACCTCCACTAGCTTTGTTTGTAGTGATGCTTCCTAAGGCCCACTTCGCATTCCAGGATGTCTGGTTCTAGGTCAGTGACCATAACATCGTGATTATCTGGGTCATGAAGATCTCTCCTGTACAGTTGTTGTGTATTCTTGCCACCTCTTCTTAGTATCTTCTGCTTCTGTTTGGTCCATACCATTCCTGTTGGTCGCTTAGTCATGTCCAAGTCTTTATGACCCCTTGGACTGTAGTCCACCAGGCTCCCCTGTCCATGAAATTCTCCAGGCACGAATACTGAAGTGGGTTGCTGTTCCCTTCTCCAAGTGTCACTGGTAATAGCTATTAAATGTGCACATATGCAGGCTGTTCAGGGAAGTTGAACATGCATGTAAATATCAAGGTCATTTTCAGAGAAATTTTAATTTCTGTATTCTCTTTCAGAGAAATCTGTGTTCAGGTTTATGATTACCTTAAAAAATAAGGCCATCTTTGTATTTCTAAAAAATATTTTAAAAGACTGGTGTTCCAGTCTGGGTTAGCAGTCAGTGCTCAAAAAAAGGAAAAAGAAAATTACAAAATCATTGATTTTAAAGTCAGTTTTGCTTCAAGTGACATTGCTTTTGAAGTTGTAAGTTCCAGGTGAAACCTGTAATACATAGCCCATTAAAATTTTTTATTAAAAATTATCTTTTTAATCAATGATTATTAAGTATTTTGAAATTTTTAGTTCTCATTCAGTTTATCACATAGCCAAAGTTTAAATATACTTTATCCTAACTGGTGGCAGGTGTCTTTAGTAAGCATTGTTAATTCAGAAGTACACAAATTATAGAACTGTCAGAATTCAAGGTTGTGCTAGACAAAAACCAGTGTCAAAGTCGCTGTCTTTGTTGTGTGATATAGCTCCTTAGGCCCTTCCCATGTGTTAAAAATGATAAACACATAGGTCTTGACCAGCGTCCCCTCAAGCTCTAGCCCACTGTAGTGCAGGGAACAGGCACTTCTTCAGTATCTCAATCAAAAATCCTGGGACTTAATCCTGTTTTGGGTCATGTGATCACCTCTGAACCAGTTATTGGTCAGAGACATCTAGTAAGGTAATTGGCCAGGCCTATATCTCTGAAGCCTCATTTGAACCACATGGACTGAGAAGGAAAGGGCAAGGCAAGCAAATAGAAAAGGTATTTAGCGCTAGGTTTGTCTGCTTGTTTTTTCTTCTAAACAGTGTTCATTTCTACTTGCTTTTGTTTCCCTGAGTGGAAGTAACTTGAAAACCTAAAAAAGTTTTAAGTTTGGCTTCTATGTATTCCAGTGGATTGTTTCTCCTTCCCTCACAGGCTTTTGAATGCTTATGATGAACATCAAACACTCCTAAAAGAGCAGGATTCTTTAAAAAGAAAAGCAGAAAACGGGTATGTAACTTCCTGCTGAATCAGAAAAGGAAGCTTAGAAAAACACAGTTCATAGTGGAAATCCCTTTAAAAATAATTATTACCTTTATATTGTGGTAATTTACTTTTTCCATGATTTGAAATAAAGTTTCCATTTTTACCTTTTAGATCAGAAGAACCAGAGGAAAAGAAAGCTCACACAGAAGATACAACTTCATCATCTACACAGATGATTGATGGTGATTTGCAGGCAAATCAAGCTGCGTATAATTACAGTGCCTGGTATCAGGTAAGTTTACATAATTATAATTGATTTTTTTGGTTAATAGATGTTACTCAAAATTATATATATAAATTAGGGTAGTCTTTTTTTCCTTCTTTAGGGTAAAAAAAAACCTCTTTACTTTTGATCTGTGTGTAAATACATTGTCTTTTATGATTAAGACTTGGAATTTCAGCAGTGAACACATGCTTGTTTTATTTATTTATTTTTTAAATGAAAACCATTTTTATCTTTAAAACTGCTACATAATTGCTTATTTTCTTTAAATAGAAACCTGCCTTAATTAAACTTTTATATATGGAACCCAGTTATAGCTCTTGTATGCTGATACATTTGCTTTTTCTTTTCAGTACAATTATCAGAATCCTTGGAATTATGGACAGTATTATCCCCCTCCTCCAACCTGATAAGAAAATCAAGTATCAGATGGAGTGTGTGAAAAGTGTGAAATTATTTTTTTTTAATGAGGGATGTAAACATAGTACAAGCTTGTTGTATTTGATAACTTGTCTTCCCTGTTTCTGTGTAACATGATTTGTTTAGTAATAGGGGAAAATGTCACTTAGTAGCTTACCACAGATACTATTTCCTACCATTTATAAAATTTACTTTTTATTGGAGAACTATTTTTTTTATTTTTTGCATTAAGTGGTCTAGAATTCTTTTGCAATGCATTTGCAACAGAGTTTTGTAGCCTTAAGGGTAGGAAAAAAAAACTGACTGCAGATCATGTCAGTGTAGTACAAGATTCTGAAAACACATAAGGGCTGGTTATTAAGGATTTACCTCCTCTTTAAAAAAAAAAAATGGTTTTTTAACCTTTGCTGACAAGATACTGTCTGTGTGTTTTGATTATACTTGTGAATTTGGATCTAACAGCAGAAACAATTCCTGTTAAAATATTGTCTTGGAATAGAGATAATAAATGAGGAAATGGAAATCTTTGCATCCCTTTGAAAAAATGAAAATCATATCAAAACTATGTTGTTTCGGGAGACTTTGTATTTGGAATATTCATGTTAAACTTGTGAGCAAGCTTTCATTTTGATCAAACTGATCATCTTCATTTTTGTAATAAAACTGAAGACTCATCCAATAATTGTTACGGATTTATTCGGGGGGAAATCACTTAAAAATTTATATTCACCATGCTTAGTGGTTTAATATTAAATTTATATTCACCATGATTCTGAAGTATACTTCTCTCTAATCTTCTTGACAGAATTTCTTAAGTTTTGTAGCTTTTTGCTTCTTCTCAGTCTCTATGCTTTTGCCTGCCTTATACAGAAACACTTAAATATTTTAAGATGAGTATCTCTGGCAAGGCTGTCCAGACAAATTTAGTGTTACTCCCTTGGTTTGGTGAACTCTTAGTACTGGTTAACCTAATCAGAACATTAATACATTTATACCACACAAATCAAGACATTGGATACATTTTTATTGAGCCTTTTAGTTTACAACATGAGGTAAAAGGCAAATCAGTTCTCTTTAAGTGATATTTTACACAACTGTAGTAAAATATTTTAAAGTTCAAGGGTTTATAATGGATTACATTTCTTAAAAGTTGAGGGATCAAGTAAACATGTTCTAACTTGAATTTTCCAGTTGACTCTTATCTTAACAATAGTAACCAGCTCTAATTAGATAAGTTTCTTCACGGCCATGTTTTATTGTTGATGGTTTCTTAACTATTTCAGTCAATATCCACTAATTCCACTTCAAAAGTAAGTTTTGCATTTGGTGGAATTCTGTTGAAGAAGTTAAGGTAAATTTGATAAAAGTTGTCTCTTTCCTCACTCCCAATAACCTTCATCTAAAATTAGAATTTTAGATATTGGTAATTAACTGCACAGGGAGGGCTTTATAGTTGACTCAGGGGCTAGTACATACAAACCGAGAGGTTCCTAAAATTATTTTTGAATGAAGGTCAAAACCTGACAAGAGAAGTTGACTAGATAAATTGAGCTTGAACTAGGATCTTCCTGTGTCACTAGGTACTCCCAGCTTAGCCACTACTTTATGAAGACTGCTACTCGGTACCTCCCATCCAGCCCCAAAAAGTGATTTCAGTTTAGCTAGGTGTGTTAAGTTATACTAAAGTTCATATGAGGTAGTACCTGATAGTTGCTGTGAATTTTCAGATGTTGGGTTCAGGAAGAGTGATTTTTATCTAACTGATCTTGAGATACTTCACATGAGACTGTGGGAGCTGCAGCTGGCTGTGGGATTTTGATAGGTTGAGAAGGCTATTGTATTCCCAAGTAACTATATTAATAACTGAGAAGACTAAAAAGGACTTCCAATTTCCTCCTCCCCTAAACTTACTCTCACTGGTCTAACTTTTCCATTGGGAATGGAACCAACAACTAAACTACCTTCCCACTTAGCTACTGGGTTGTTCTGCTTGTAACAGATTGGAATCATGGCTCTTCTCTTTTATTAATGTTCACACTGATGTTGGACCATGGTCTCCTTCATTTCACAACTGGTAATCCCCAACATGTTTTCCATTGCTAAGCTCTGAGAACCCAGTTCAATTGCCTGAAATTATACAGTTCCATGAAAATCACCATGAGTCATATTTGAATCCTACAATTTGCTACAGTTGTTTATATTGAGCATCTTACTCCTTGAAATTTTTCAAACATTAATAGTAGCTTTTCAAAGATAGAAACTTAAATCTCAGTTTAGGTCTTGAAAATTAAGAGCTTAAATAGGAAGGGGAAAAGAGATTCTAGAATCCCTATAACAGTGGAAAACACTGTCTGTATTGGAGGTGTGTTGACACAAAAGCATATAAATATCTGAAGACTGGTCTGGACATGTTCTCTCTTCTAGAGGTTAATAACCTAGATAGCATCTTGCATGCCTTCAAGTGATCTTCAACTGTGTTTTCTTTTAATTACTAAGAAAAAAAGGATACTTGGCATCAGGCTGTCCTTTCTTTCCATAAGCCCATTCTGGTTCAATCTCCAGTCGAGCCTTTTCTCCTTTACTCATAGTCAAGAGTGCTTCATCCCACTACAGATGAGAACATCAAATTAAAACTAATGATACTTCACAAAAAAATACATGCAAAACCAGAAGAAAGGCAAGATTACATACAAAGCATTCTGTTACAGGACTTCATTATGTCCTAAGGTAATGTCCTTGAGTGAGTCCCTAAATCTTTGTCCTTCATTGTCTCAATGGAAAAAAAAAATTTTAAGGACATATTAAACAGTTTTTTAGTATAAATACTTCTTGAAAATGACATAATGTCATTTTGTACGAATTTGGATCTTAGGCCAAATTACCAAAAACAAATCAACATAATGGAAGGATATAGAATGTATTCACTTATATACTCTGTTGAAATGTTAACAATTATATAAGCTCAAATGATACAGATTTATCACATACTAGAAGTTAAGAATTTAGTTGAACAGAACAAACTTACCAGTAAGCACATTAGTGATAGAAACAGAAAAATAGCTCAACTTGATAAATCAACTTGGTATAATCAGGTAGTAGTAAAAAGTGATTTTCAACTAAACCTTTAGTTTCAAGATGTTTTACAATCTATTTTGGACTCTGGATAAGACTGAATAGTATTTTAGGTCTTACCACAGTACAAAGAATAACACATTGAGGGTTCTCGTAACTGCACTTAAATAGGCATTTTTGTTATTAATGTTTGTTCTGAATACAAAGAATTTAGAACAATAAGCAGGCTCTAATATGACAACCTGATTCAGTTGAGGATGATGATCAGCTCTGCTTTTCAATCTCCTTTTGTACAAGGCAATGGTCAGTAGCTCAAACCTAACTTTCCTTTTTCTCAGTTTCCTTCTGTTATTTCTCACACATAAGGGTGGGTAAAGGCATGCTTACATTGGAAAGATCTTTTTTGGTGTTTGAGCAAATTGTGAGAGGTGAGAAGGCTACAGGAAACACTCAAAGGCTTCTCTGTCAGTACTTCAGTGGATCAGGTATTGTACCTCTCTGAATCATGTATAAGTGGTACAATAGATATGTAACATTTTACAGAAATCATACAGACAAATTCAGAAAACCAAACTTACTTGTCAGTAATTCTGACAATTACTTCATGGAAAAAAATAATAAAAGGGGTAAGCATGGAAGGAAATAATATTTGAGTTTCTATTATATTACATGCTTTAAGTTATACCCATTTAATGTTTTTAACAACCTTGGGGTAGGCTGTACTGTATGAAACCCAGAGAACTTAACTTGTGCCAGATCAGTTAGCAGTGCCGGTGAAGTGAAAGTCGCTCAGCTGTGTCTGACTCTCTGTGACCCCATGGACTACCCAGTCCATGGAATTCTCCAGGCATGAATATTGGAGTGGGTAGCCATTCCGTTCTCCAGGGGATCTTCCCAACCTAGGGATTGAACCCAGGTCTCCCACATTGCAGACGGATTCTTTACCAGCTGAGCCACCAGGGAAGCTCTTGATATGAAACCCCAAAGTTTGTTTTTATTGTCTCCCCAAACCTAATTCATTATGTTATGCCACATGCAGCATGGGCCAGAATATATACTGGTTCATGGCCAGTTTTTACTTACCCCTCTGATAACTTTGCCTATCCCAACCTTAAAACTTAAAGGCTTGGCATTTTTCTTCTTCTTTGAACCTGTAAAACAGATTTTCCTTATAATTAATGATGAAATTAAGTTCCAGTTGAAAAACACAGGGATTTAAGTCTTGCAATTGATTTCAGAACTTACCATGCTATGCATCTGAAAATAAAAATTCAGAAAGCCAATATTCATCAAGAAAATTTTGGATGTAAAAATAACTACGGTCTAAAGGAGGGAGAGGGAAAGGACCTATATTACACCATTAAAATAACACTATTCTGCCTTTTACATTAGAATACAAATGCCTGAATTTGGGGCATTAATAAAGATTAGACTAAGCTTTATTTTTTGCTTTGCAGTGACCAAAAGGTCTTTATTTACATGCAGCCAACACGTAGTGAAGTGAAAACCTCTTACTAGTATTAATAAATTACAAATGCAAAAGACTTCTGGAAAAAATGACAGCCAAAAAAAAGGTACTGCCAACACAAGTGTTTTGCATGTCTTAGAGCCAAAATGATAAGATTACATTTAGACTTACTCGTTTGAATATTAGTATCAAAAACAGTCCCATCTTGTAGTGTTCCTGTATACCAGCAGTGAACAACATCTCCCTTTTTGGGAAAGTTGGTTTTATCTCCTTTTTTAAGAACAGATTTTGTATATTTTGGTGGACCCTAGAAACAAAAAACAGTTGTTAACTCATGTCCTTTTTTTAGAAGGAGGACAAAGAGAATACTTAACACGGCCAACTGTGACCTAAGTCCAGTCAGAGTTTCACATTGGGTAATAAACTATTTTGCCTCTGACTGACCTCTCAACTTAAAAAATTCACTCTCTCATTTTAAGTCTGTGATGAGAATATTAGTAACTGTTGTTCAGTTGCACAGTCATGCCCAACTCTGTGACCCCATGCACTGCAGCATACCAAGCTTCCCTGTTCCTCACTATCTCCCAGAGTTTGCTCAAATTCATGTCCCTTGAGTCAATGATGCCATCCAACCTCATTCTCTGTTACCCCATAACTAGCATATCTGTAATTTCAAACTTGCAGCTTCTCTGGAAACCAGTGTTCTTTTGATAAGATTAATTATGCATCAAACAGTAAAATGAACCAGTTATTCCCAAGGTCAGAAATATTACAAGGACGTCACTGGCAGTCCAGTGTCTAAAACTCCATGCTTCCACTGCAGGGGGCATGGATTCAATCCCTGGGTCAGGAAGATCCCCTGGAGAAGGAAGTGGTAACCCACTCCAGTATTCTTGCCTGGGATAAACCCGTGGACAGAGCAGCCTGGCAGGCTACAGTGCATGGGGTTGCAAAGAGTCAGACATGACTTAGCAACTAAACAACAACAAAGAGCTTTTAGACAAGGTTCTTTGCATTAAGATAAATAAAAGGTAGAGATAAATCTAGGTATCATGAGCTACGAGAACTTCTGACTTACATTAACAGTAAAATGTGGGATGGTAAAAACTCCGGAGAAAGTGATGAGCCCATGACCTGGG